TGTTTTTTTTCGAATCCAATTGTCAATCAAACATTGTATACATTATTGGGTAATTCAACAACATATTATTGAGGAATAAATGCAGGTGTGGGTGTGGGTGTGGGTACGGGTGTGGGTACGGATGTGGGTGTGTGGGTGGGTGTGGGTGTGTGGGTGTTTGGGAGTGTGTTTGGGTGTGGAGGCGAGTGTGGGAGATGCTAAAACCTACAGCCATACCCACCCACCTGCAGCCACCAACACATCCACACATCCTCACCCACAACTACACACCCACATCCACAGCCACACCCACGCCTGATCGAATGTACTCTATCTTCGCAAATATCTTGTAGTTTTGCGTTGATCAATGACTTACTGCAGACATCAGATTCATAGCAGTCTTGTAAGTTTTTGATTCCTCAAATGGCAATTAATAAAAACTAAATGCATATCACTATTGGAAGAAGAAAGAAAAGGAAGTTTAGGCATGAAAATGGATATTGAATCGTCTTATCACTGAAGCACGTCAAATGATTGAAATATGATGAGATACTCTTCCATTCATACATAAAGCTTATTACAGAATATTTTATGAAGATCCTAAGTAATAATGAATAGATGCGGAAAGATATGAGCTATAATTCTTTTTGCTTTTGAAAATTTTGAAAGCAGTAGAATTGTTACCATATCTAGCGATATTGCAAAAATTGATATATGTATAATAAAAGCGACATATTAGTACGCGATACATATAATCACACAAGAAATCAATTACTAGAACTTCAAAGTAATAGCCATAAAAAGCGAACTAGAATCATAGCCTTAATATAAGGCAGGGGCCTTCTATTAAGGCGATCGTTCAGAACTTTTAGGGGGCCTTCTATTGCTGGGGGTGGAGGGGAGGGGGGGGGGGGGTATAATGGAATTATCCATGTTGGACAAATCCTTAACATTCCTTCCTTCGGCCACGATATAGTTCAGCAAGCGATAAAAGGGTGCAAGGAAATCTGTGGAAAAAGAATTGTCAAGATGTTATACTTCGACAGCAATGTGTGTGTTGTCGGCAAGATCAAGAACAGAGCATACAAGTAAAGCGAAAAACTCGAAAGAATGAATTATATCCTGTAACAATTAATTATGACAAGAACAAGGTTTTCCCTTCTAATAGTTTTTTTCCAAAATTTCCCCAGTCTAAGAATTTTCCAAAATTTCCCCGAGTAATGCAATTTTTCAAAAAATCCCCCCCTCCTGGCGAGGGCGCACGAGGAAGATTCTGCACCTCTGCACCCCACACCCACACCCACATCCTCCTTTTGTATCTGATAGGTGGTGTGTGTGTATTTTTATATTTTTATACTTGTAATGTACAAATTTTATATGTATCTGTATGTGTTTTTTTTCTCCTTTTCACTTTTTCACTTGTTCTCTTTCTCTCTTGTTCACATTTCTCACTTTTCTTCTCCTTCAATTGTCATCTTGTCACTGTGTATTCATTTTTGGGTGTATTAATAGGTCTTCCGGCATTAATTCTTAAAAAAAAAACAGCTCAAAAGAAAAAAACGTTTCGTGAGCTCTGATTGTGATATTCTGAATCAGCACACTTGACTCTACAAATACATATGGTTTTGAACTGATTCTGGAAAAAAAAATTTTCCACGACACCTGGTGGATACCCCAGGGACGAAAAACCTCAAAGTGACTTTTCGGGAAATAAACTCGCAAAACATGATCGGAAACCATCCCTGATTCAAGCCAGATGCAAATAAACCAAATCTAAGTGGGGCCGCAAAACGGCCTTATCCGCCCTTACCCTTTCAGCGCGATCGGACCTAGAATGACGGAGAAACGGGGGCGAAAAGTTGAGCCATTTTTGACCCTTCGGACCCCAATATCTCATAGAAGGAAGCATTATGGAAACTCGAGTCTAGCACAACTTTTGATCTACTACCCGAGATCTATCTGCCCTGAAAGTTTCAAATTTTTATGACCAGCCGTTCTCCAAAAGTGCCGGAAAGGGGGGGGGGGTGCTCTTAAAAGGAAGAAACAAATCTTTTTGTTTCCTGTTGATTTGATTTGAAAAGCATCAAGACGTTTTCAACGGATCGACAATTTCAAATCAGAAGATTGATTTGTTCTCAATAATCGAAAATAAATTGTCAAGATTCAAAAGTCTCTAAATCAATGACAACAACACACAAAATCATTTGATTCAACATCATTTTCTCGTTCATCTGATCCTTCTTACAAAAATGTTTCGTTCGAAATTAAAAAAAAAGAAAATGAAATCGTCACTCGATGATTTCTCCATTCACACACATCAAGATTTTCTTGTTGATCGATTAAGAAACCGATGAGAGAAAAGAGTTGATTTTGACTAACAATAACGTTTCCTCTATGTAGATCCTTCACACCAGTGCATTATTCGACGATTTTGTGAGTCAGGGACATAAACAATTCCTAACGGATCAACAACAATTCGTTCTTTGCTATTTACATGATGATTATTCGTGTCTGAAATCAATATTGATTGATGTTCTTCAACAAAGACACGTCTTAGACAATTCAGTTGATTTCCTCCTTCATTTCCATTAACAACAATTGTTCGTTCTTTTCAAATAGTTGTTTCTTCATTTTCTCTTCTCGTTGTTATTGTTCTTCTGACGAGACCATCAAACAATTCGTCAATTTCCTCTATCACAAATGGTCCAGCACTTCTTCTTTTATCGATGAGCACGTCTGTTGACCCATTCAATCAATTATCATGATTTTCTTCTCCATTCCATCAACAACAACTTGACCAATGATTGCCTCACATTTCCATTCAACAATATGATGATTGGGATCATCAACAAACAAATCCCATGAATTGTAGAGTTGATTGAATTCATTTTCTTGACCTTTGTCTTGCTACAACAATGACAGAATACTGTTTCCATTTTGAACTTGGATTAAAATATGTTGAAAAAACAAAACCAAAATTCCAATAAAATGAAGAAGAATTGCAATAGAGAAAAAAACAAGAATAACAACTGGATTTGATTGTGAGATGAAAAGGATTTCTTTACGGAACAATGAAAATGGATCAATCGAAGAATTCAGTTCATTTCCGATCTTTTGATCTTCAAAGTTTTGTTCTTCATCATTGAACTAACATCTTTCCTTATTATTGTCGATCAAACTAAATTTTTATTCAACTTCTTCTTCAACAAATCAAATCATATCAAATCGATTGAAGGATTTAAAGATGAAAACAAAGATGTTTGTTTTTCAAAAATTTCTGATCATCATCCAGAATATTCAAGAAAAAGAAAGATTGAGCTGACTTTTCAATAATTTGATCGAACCTATTTATTCACAAAAAAGAAAATGGAAATGACTATTGAATTCACTGAAAATACGGGATTCAAATGTGAAACACGATGGATTCATTCCACTCATTAAGCAGGACCCTAACCACATGGATCATTGTGACACTCTGAACCTTCATTAATTCTGTCTGTCACGGTCTGTGGAGCAGGAGGAGGGGCGGTATCACTTTTCTCGCTCTATACTTCAACACTTCTTAACAATCGTGTTTCACAATAGAAACACCGAAGATTTTTCATAGAAATTATCCAACGCGACTTGTCTGAAGAATTCTAAATCGAGACACAATGGAAGATTTCGAATAATTTTGTCCAACCAAGAAATCGAGCAATAACAAGCATAGAATAGATCTGATGCATTGAGATATTCGAAGCATTAAAGGAGAACTTCATTCGGTAACAATTCGAATCTCATTTTGGTTTCAACGTCACTCATGATAAAAGATGTCAACAACACTGTTTCTTCTTGGATTTATGAATACGATATCAAGTAAACAACCATTCGACGTCAATAGATTGATGTGTTCGTTGGTTCTTTCAAAGAATAAATAATTCGTTTTGTTATCTATCTTTTTGACTCACTTGGAACAAGTTCAGAGTATCAAAGAATTTCATTAAATAGTGCAAGGGCCTCTCTGCTGGTCAAAATACGCAAGATACATATGAAGTGAATCCATATCTTCTGCTGTGAGATCATAACTAATCAGATGACCTTTCATGTCTTACCTTCTTTCGTTCTAAATTTCTGTTTTTGATTGAGCGAAACGGCGTATGAGCAGAAATGTCTTTGTGTGAACTTCATCTTCGAGTCGATTCGAATACAACAGATATTCCCCTCTCGAGCAGTACTATGTCAGACTCATGATCTCTGTGGATCCACTAGTGGTTCGTCGTAATAGAAGAAAAAGAAACAGAAATTGAACGACAATGAAGAAGCTCGATCAACAACTGCGTCCCTGTGGACATGTTCCAAATCGTTCGTACCCGATTTGATCCTGCAACGATGTCGTCAAACGAATCGTCAATTTCGTCTCTATTCTGGTCTGAACATTCGTACTCCAATGAAAATCATTTTTTTTTTTTGTAATTTTTATCAAACAAACAAAAACAACATATTCGTGAATATCTCGATTGTGTTTCTTTCGTAACGGAATTCGAGAAAGGACAAAATATCGAATGAAAAAAGAAATTAATCTTCCAAATTATATTATTCAACAGATACGTGAAAAAGAAAAACATTGTCTGTTTATGTGCAACAACATCATTTGTTCACAAGCGAGAAATCTCAAACATATCTGTATGCCTCTATCCTTTCTCATAATCCATTAGTTGATTTCAAAAAATGAGAGAACAAGGGTTATATTTACAACAATTAATTCAATTTTGAATTAATTAACACGTAAATATCATTCCTGGAGGCAGCGGATTTATTTTAAATTTAATTAAATGTAAATTTTGCCGAATTTAAATTTAAAATAATTTAATATTGACGAAGAAAAATTTTTTTATTGTCTGAGATTTAATAACTTTGTTGTAAATATAAATAGACACACCTATGAGAGAATCTTTTACTATGTGATTTATCGATATTAGCATGTAAAGTAATTGTTTTTATATACACAGAAAAAATTTTAGAGTTCAATTGTTTTCTTCCATTTACCACCATAAATGTATTGCACTGTTTTCATGTTCAATGGAATAATTTTCGAGAAGTATTTCACGACGAATAATTTCATTGATTGTTTCTTTGTTCATGTTCAGAATGCGTAATGAGAAGAGATTCGAATCTTTGTTTGATAATAAAAATTTCAGAATTGATTCCAATAAACTTTCACTAATACCAATTGTCAAATGTTGTAAACGAGGACAAAGATTAATAAAAAATTTAAGATGTTCAAGTGTACAACCATGTTCGATGTTCAATTCAGTAATTTTATTTTTCATTGATATTGAATGAATCATATCCGTTTGTTCGATAGATAAAGGATGAAAATCGAGAAAAAACATTTGAGCAAATGTTAAAGAATGAATATTTGATGTAAATGTTAGAAGTTCAATGAGTTGATCAATACAAAGTTCTTGTTCGTCCAGCAATAAATATTTGAGTTTTGATATTGAAATAATACGATTAATATCGCGAATAAATTGACCATTCTTATCTAGAAAGTTAGCATTTAGAGTAAGTTTGGTGATGTTTGGAAAGTGACTTGAACATGTAATCGTGTTCATTTGTTGTCGAATGGTAAGATGAGAAGCCGAATTGATTTCAATATCTTCATCATCAATACATTCAATCAATTCATAATGTTTTCTTCTAAATTATAAAAAAAATTTTTACACCTGTTTTTTTTCTTCTTCTTCATCTTTACCTATATGGATGAGTCGAATAGAAGACTATTGGAAACGGCTCATCATCATTATTATCTGGCCAATATTGATATTTAAAGAACCAATTTCGATTCGACCAAAATGTCGAGATAAATCGATCGGTTGGTATGAAATTCGTAATATCATCATCGATGGGACACTCAGGTGATATGTTATATTGAAAATCAAATGTACGTAAATGAGGTATATGATTTAAAATTAATTGTTCCCAACGATCCGAAGAAAAAAATGTTCCATTCCATGATGCCGTCAAACGTAAGAATATCAATTGACGAGACATTTTTATTAGAAATATTTCAAATTCATTGAATGAAAGCTGGTAAAAATCGACAGTAAGATGTGTCAAATGAAGAAGTACTGCGGGTCCATCGGCGATGTTACTACAAAGTGCCCACGCAAGTCGACAAAATAGATGCGTCAATCGAGGTGTATAAGTCAGAACAGCATTGATTTGACTGAGACTATACCAACTATCGATGATAAGATATTCGAGTGTTTGACATTGATCTTGTTTGTCAATTGCATATGGTATTGGATTACGATCACCATGATTTAAAAATGTTAATTTACAATATTTAATTTTTGGTAGACGAAAAATACATTGATATATGACATATGCATTTTTCCAATTGTCGATACAAGTAATAGAAAGAGAGACGAATCGAGATAATGTTGCAAGACGAGTAAGAAGTAGAATGAGATTTGTTGACGATACACCGATGAGATTTAATGTTTCGAGATGAATAAACGAATCGATTGAAAATGAATTAAGAAAATGATTTGTAGTTAAATAATGCGATAGAGAAAGTGAAATAATTCGATTGACATTGGGTTTTATCAAATGAATACAACGATGAAGAAACATTGATTTTGATGTCAATGGAAGATTTAATTTCAGGTGATAATTTGGACTAGTGAATAATAATTGAAATCGAATGTTCATTTGAAAAAAAATGTCATAAATCTCCCAATCATCGAGATAATCGAACGTTTCATAGATTAGTTCATTTGAAAGATCTTCTAATCGAGTAGAACAACCTGAAAAATGAACAAGAGAGACGATTTCTCGTTTGATTCTTTCTCAAAAATAGATAACAAACTTGATTTTAATCTTTTTGTTTCATCGTTTATTTCGAACATATCGACTTTCCGTTTAAGTTCACACAATTCGAGAGCCATTAGTAATCTGAAATAAATATCGATATGTATAAATTTGCATTGATGAAAAGTTTTTAAAAGTATAGCCGAGTGATATCAAGATCATGACAGAGGGGGGTGACTTTATCTGATTTGATCTTCTTTTTGAACCAGTGATTCGAGATATAAATGAAAGAGAAAATTCGATCGCCAATTTATTCGACAAAACAACCGAGATGAATATTTTCGTTTGGAAATAACGATAATAACAATATTAACTATTTTTTTATATAGATGTCAGTAAGAAACAAAAGTTTAAAATAGCAAATAATGTTTCACGTTGTCTTTGCTGTTGTCACATGTGGATGGATAGTGAGAGAGAGAGAGAGGAAAATCATTTGTTCACTGCTTGCATTATACCCAAGCGAAAAAAAGAGAAACAAATTAATAGGAAAGGTTAAATAGTCGATCAAGAACAGAAGTAAGAAAGTGTCGAAGAGTCGCCATCTTTTTATCAACAAAAGGACACGTACGAAGTAAATCTATGTAAAATATTTTTTTTCCGATTTATTGACACACATAGCTATATAGAACAACAATAGATTTTTTTTCATGTATTTTGATATGGATCTTTTCGAGATATACTAATAGAATAGTACATAATCGATAATATAGACACCATGAAGTTTTCGAGATGGAATATGATCAATATTTCAAGTCTAAACGTACATTTTGGCACTCATTCTTGAATCGTAGAAATCCAAATATTTTCAATCTTGATATTATTTGAAACAAAAATAAATGAAAATTTCGATTGGACTGTTTTTTTTTTGTTTGTTTTAATTTCAATAAAGCATTGTTAAACTTTGCGAAATGCTTCAATGAATTTGTTTTCTTTTTTTTTCTCCCAAGTTAATGTGCCGTATTTCACCGTATACGGACCAATCGATCATCAGAGAAAGAATATTCTGTTGCGTTGATGAGAGCAAAGAGGAAAGTATCAAAGGTAGAAGGAAAGACATTGAAAAAAATCTATGGTAATGTAATAGTGCATTTGAGATCAGCTGTGCACAGTGAAATGAACCGATTGCAGAGTAAATGGACAATTGAAGAGAGATTATTCATGTTGTTGGATGTGAGATTTTTTCATAAATTTGGCAAGTGAAAAATGATGAAATAGATAGTAGTTAGTAGCTTGGAATAAATGATCTGAAAGGCGGATAAATTATGCAACTTTGATCTTCTCTAAGAACCCGTTATTCGAGATGAATAAACGAATACAGCAAGCAAGACGATCAGATGAATAATTAGGTGAAGATAGTGGTGATCATAATATGAACCCTTTTTTGGTATAAATGCCAGTGAGTAACGAAATTTCAGCGACAGGAATGATTTATTTCGAAGACTAATAATGAAAGAGATAGTGATCACTAACTGCGAGCGAAAAATTGTATCCAGATGTTCTTCAGTCAAATGAATGTTGATAAAAGTAGTTACCTAGAACGAACAAATTAAGAATAATTTTTAATCTGTACATTGATTATGTGCAATTTTGCCAAATATTTCATTGTGAATCATTGAGACAGAGCAAAGGAAATATTCTGTATTTCCGTCTTCGTGAATTACTTTTACAGATACTGGGCTTTCAGCAATGTTCAATACTTTACGAAGTGACGATTGGTCAAGAATTCAATGAGACTTTAGTATGTACTTCAAAATCTTGAGGGTGTGGGTGTCTCTTTACTTTCACCCACACCCTCAAAATTTGGTTCTTTTCGTAAGAATCGATAGATTGGTTATTATATTGCCTGATGATCGACTTCGCTGCCGTGAAAACGTTCATGGTAGCTCATTCTAACACCTTCACGCTCACCCTCTATTTTTTTATAAAGTTTGGTGAAAGCTTGTCGTGACATCGACGAAGCTGTGTTGCTACCTTATTTCAACCGACCGAATAGCACTGATAGTTTTCGTCACTATTATGAAGACAAAAGATGGTGTTGCTTAGGACATATAAAAGAGGACTCCTACTCACCACATCTTGGCCGAAGCAACAAGCTGTTTTGTCCTTAGAATAGTAGAGAAATCCTTACTGAAATCTAATTGGTCGAATTTTTCAATTAATCAGACACTGGATAAACCAACAAGCAATTCCGTTTTGTATACTCATGCTTTCAGAATTCAGAATAAGTAATTTTTTGAAAACTTATGTCTGTTCGTTACCGAAATGTCCGTGTTTCTCCTAGTATTGCGTCAATAACTCGCTCATTTTTCGAGGTATCACTAATTTCTTTTCAGCAAAAGATAGCCTTGATTCTTAACTACGAAAATCTCACTAATACAAATTATTACCATGAAGCTACTCGTAGGATTTCTCACTTCTTGCGCATCTTATAGATACGGGCCTTTTGTGTCCGTGCGTTACTGATCAATATTATCTGAGTAAAACCCGACTGCATACAGGTAGAAAGTTGAAATTTTTATGGGAAGTAGAACTCCCTCAAACACATATTTGCCAAAAGTTTCAACTCTTTAACTTCATTTGTTCTCGAGATATACGCTTCTGAATTTAAAAAAAATGTCTGCGTATTACCTGCGTTTTTCATGTGCACTTCTATCGATTCATTATTACGAAAAATTCTCATCCCAAGAATCATACAATCTTCTTTTATTTTCTTTCTTGTGCAACTATGATCTATGATGAAGGTCCGACGAAGGAAGAAAAAGCACTGTTAAATTTCCATAGTTAATGGTAGTGTAAACGAACTTTTTCTTTCTTTAGTTGTTGTTGTGACAGAATTCTTATGATACTGGGTGGCCCATAAGTAAACCGAAAAAAAATTGAACATCTCCATTACGGCTCGACCAGAGGGTGGGTGTGGGTGTGGGTGTGGATAAAATCAATACTCACACCCCCCCCCCCACCCACACCCTGAAAACCTATTTAGTGATCTAACTTCGGCCATCGATTACAACCTTCGATATAAATTTTTAACCAAAACAATAAGAAAAGGACTGATGGCATACGAAAAATTGTCTTTTTCACAGCGTCAAAAATTAGTCCAGAGAATTTTGAAAAATATACAACTATACAGTGAGATGTTCTTTGTAAGTTGTAGAGTTTTCCACATTGCATCTCGTGGCGTATTTTTTTTTCTAATAAAGGATATCAAAACAAAGAGATGAAATAGAAAAACAAATATTCCTCATGTATTAAGAGAATCATTTTTTCGAAGCGTCAAAAATTGGAGACTCAGAACTTTCCCCCATTTTGAAAACAAAAAGTGCAATTATAAAAAAGAGGTGTTTTTTATTAATTCTTGAGTTCTTCACACTGCGTTTTGTGATAGATTTCCTCTTTTTCTTAACACAGTGTCTTAGGTGATGAAAAAGAGAATTAGAAAAAAATCACTTTTTTCGCCAAAGCAGATTCTATCAGCCGTTTCTTCGGTGAAGCATCATCAAATCACTTTCATATCTGGATTTCTGAAATTTTGGATTCAATTCAAGAGAACCTCATTGGATTCAAGGTTCTCATTCAGTTAATTTGATGATTGCTGAAACATAATCAATTATTTTTAAATTGCTCATTAACTGTTGTTTTATTTCCTGCTCACGAAAATGTTTCTTACACATTCACTAAAAATTCATCAAAGGCTCACATGTGACATATAAAGCAAAGACAGTAAGTGATGAAACAATTTTATATCTCAGTACTATATAGCTGTGTTCTTATGCTTTAATCAAGTTAGAGAAGAGAAAAGTATCGTTTGGATGCTATAAAACATGAAACTTTCATTTGCTTGGTTTGCCACTTCTATATGGAGTGATCTTACAGACTTTCGTTTACATATTTGTATCACCTCTGTGAACGACGACAAATCTGTGACCATTAATATTAGTTGTATAAGACATATCTTATCTATTCAACTTAAGCAAACTGTATAAATATCATCATGAAATCGGTATCTCAATTATATATACCAATAACTTCGAAATTTCTTTAATAATAGTTGTACTAAATATAGGAAATTAGTTTAATGCATTTCGTTGACTGAATGATTCACCTAACGAGTATGATTCCTAGTTACTAGTTTCCTTAAGGGGGCCCATCTCCCTCAGAAATAATTTCCCACTTAGAATGGGTCATTGAAGTTGAAAATTTCAAGGATGAGTGATCCTGGAGAGATACGCTTTCGGTAAAAATTTCAGCCCGATTGGCCATACTAGGCCGGGGTTTCAGCTGAATTATAGGTCATTTTTGACCTTCAGGAGAATCGATATAGCTTTATCATAACACGAGGTATAGAGCTCGGGCTGGTGTCCAGTTAAAGCTAATGTCAGTACGCAACTTTTGTCGGAACAGAATTTTTAGATTCAACCTTATTAATCTTTTATGGCCATTTTAGTGGAAGGGTGTAAAAATCAGCATAAAAAATGGTGATCCAACGACAGTAAATCCCATTTTCTTCATCGCAGGAATCGACTCTAAAAGAACTGATCGGACAAACGTTTACTCTCCTTGAAACCTTTCAAGCAAAAAACAATATTGGATATAGCGCGAGCCGAACGGGAGTTATTTCAATTTTCCTGATTAGAAACTATATACTGACAAAAACGTTAAAGAAGTTTTAGAAATGATTCTTTTTTATTCAAATTCGAAAAAAAATATTAAAATAGTATGTTTTCAATATATTTCAGCAGACTTTTTTGCAACAGATAACAAATAACATTAGCTAGCGTCATCCATCATGCTGCTGGAATAGTTTTACTCTCTTTCGAATGACTCA